ACCGTTTTTGAAAACTCTATCTTTCTGTAATGCTAAGATAGAGATATTTACTGTTGTACTTACTGCTGAACTAGCAAAATTAGCTTAGCTAACGTAGCTTTTGATGGAGCTAAGATGGACATGTAGCCTATGTGTATGTTACCACATGTGCTTACTCTGCCAGTCATCAGAACCTTGTAATTCACATGAAGAGTTTGTAAACATTAAACATTAATTGTATGCGCCTATAGATTGCAGGCGACGCTTCTCCTTGGTGTAAACACTCTTTGCTTTCACTACATAGTTAACCACGTCTTATGAGACTGGAGGCAACTTGTCCACATTGTCTGACATATTTTCCATCCTCTGTCTCTTATGGGTTGATCCCGACAGCAGCCATTTTGTTCATGTATCTTTCTCTAACACATTGGTCAAGAATGTCCACATTTTTTCGTTTTGTTGGTCTCAAAGCCCCAGGTCTGCTGTGCCTACTGCACACAGTAAGACGGTGCGGATCACTTCTGGTTCAGATTTGTGGGAACTATGTATAGATGCATGCCATTTTATTGTTTAGATTAACACTGGAGGTAAAAAACAAAAAAAAAGAGATTTTTTTTTTTTTTTTTTTTACATGTCATCGACAGCCACGCTGCTGCAGTGGAATAATGCCATTAACAAGAGTTCGCCATAGCAAAGTGAAAATAACGCAAAAAAACTGTTGCAGAATAACTCAAAACTACTCGTATTCTTTTTTCTTCACTCTGTGCTGGCTGCTACACACAGACTCGTTGCCATAGCAACTGACTGACAGCTCCACCTAGTATATCAGATTTCCACACCAAGAAACAGGACACTGTCAGTTATACCATTATGTTTTCAGATTTGTTTAATTTGTGATTAGTAATAAGTGAACGTCTGAACACAACAGTTGTTGATTAGCTGCTCTTCTGATGATATGTCAGAGTTGTTGTGTAGGTCGCCTTCTTGTATTTTTGTGACTAAAGCAAAACACAGAATTCTGAAGCACATCTATATGTTAAGGTTGTCAAAGTCAAGCTAGCATAATTGATCTGCTTCTTTCCCTTGTTTTTGTTTTTTTGTTTTTTTATAAAACAAAAAAACAAAAACCTGTAAAATGTGATGCCAAATTGTTGTAGTGTTGACAATTAGTAGCGAGACACTGCATCCTTTTTTCCCTTATATCTCACGCATACATTTAAGATTTAGCATGCCATGTCAACAACTTCACAGCTAAAACCAATGGTAGTGATCGTCGCCGAGGGATCTTGCGGACGTCATGTTGCAACATGTCTATAGAATGAAAAATGTATTGTTTGGAATATTTATTTTAAACATACATTTTTGCCTACACACTATTATCACGGTGCAATTATGGCTCAAACAATTAGTAGAATTAATTGTGATGAATGCATTGTTGAAATAATCAAATAATTAATAATTTTCCTACTAATAAATATTTTTGTTCTCTGGAAAAAGTTCTATTAAATATGGGAAAAATTGTAAAATTATTTATGTCCTCACTTACTCCATCATAAGAAATGGAAGTTTAACAGATTAAATAAAAATTATATGAAAGGTAAAATGAAATTTTTTTTATTCATGTTTAGGTGGTTTTTTACTTTGTTTAAAATTTGAACCATTTTGTCCACATTTTCTCACTGGTTTTATGTCCTTGTTTTTACCAGAGCTATGAGCCTGTCTCCATACAGAGTCGATCCAGAGTTGATCAGGTAAACTCAGTTTAATCTTGCTCCTCTTAGCTGGGTTTTGGGTAATAGTTAAAGAAAAATAATTAGAGTTTCAGTAAAAAAATTAACTTTTTACAGTGAGCTGTGTTAATGTTTTGCTTTTTTTCTCCAAATAAACTGGTCCGAGTGCTAAATCAGTGCTTTCCTAACACCAGTTATCCATGTTTGGACTCCCTAAGATTCGACTCCCAACACCCAGAAAAAGTAAAAATAAAAAATGGTTTCCTTGCTTGGCTTGGGGAAAGAACCATTTTCCACGGGAGCTGACTGGTAGATTTATGAAGAACAACAAACTATTAAAATATGAGGAAATTGTGTAAATGTAGCACAAACCCAATAATTTAACACAAAATCCTGTGTAAGGTGCTGGATTAGCAATGAAAAAACATTTTCGCTTTTTTTTTTTTTTAATCAACCATTACCTTGTGAATTTGGATAAAATAATCACTCAGAACTACACTCAGTATTTATAGACACATGATCTATAAATACTGTTAGCTATTGTCTCAATCAATGTTCACTTTTCATAAACAAACACCACTTTTAACTTGTTCAGTTTAGAGTTGCAGGCGCTTCATGTAGTTGATTTTAGTCGCACTCTAAAATCAACTACATGGTGTATGGTTAAAAAAAAAAAAAAAAAAAATCATCATACCTACACTGTTGATGCGAGGAGCGGCCATATCGAAACGCAGAGTCCGCCTGACAAGTCGTAACTGGAAGTAGTCGGAGTTCCTCCCAGTTTTCCTGTGGGAAATCCAAGTTTAGAGAGCGTTTCAGTTTATTTTTTCCGACTGGGAAGTGGGAATTTCCCAGTTCCGAGTTCAACTTGGACGCAGCATTAGTTTAAACGTGAGAGTAGTCACGTAGCCTTAAATGACGTGCGGCCGATACGAAGCGTCCGCGGTGGATTTTATTTTTCCTTTAGAAAAAAACAAAAAAACTTTAAAGTAGGGAAATTACCAGCACCTAATTCAGATTGCGATAAATTTAGGATGTAATATTTACCAGAAGGACTCGCTTTAATGTTTGCTGTAGAAAACTAAACTGGTTCTTTGGTGTTTATGTAACTAGCTACCTGTAGCGCCCTCTCTGGTTGAGCACTGGAACTGCCGCCACTTTTATCCTTTAAGCAAGGGATTCAAAAAGTTGCGATTTTAAAACCAAATGTAGCTTTATATTGTTGTCGGGTTATTCTTTTCATAATCAGTTGATTAAATGATCAGTTGTCACCTGATGCTGTTAATATTTCCACATGTAATCGGCTTTTTAATAACATTTGTGTACCTATACTAGATGGCATTTTAAGTCTGATTTCTGAAAAATGTTAACAGATTTTAACTTTGCGAGATTGATTAAAGGAATTCTGTTTTTGTTCTATTTTTTCCAGGATCGTCAGAAGTGAACTGTAGAAGCTAACCCCTGAAAAGATCGACACTTACATTTGGGTGGACACAATGAAATCAGAATGAAAACAGACGTTACAGAAAAAGAGAAAAATATAATTGTTTTCTATTTATTAACAACTTTGGCCCGTGTCAAACCTTTGAGCCACTTTGCTCTGGGTTACTTTGTAACGCGTGCAGGGATGAAACAAAATTTCACCATGTAAAGTTATTTTAATAACATCAGTTAACTTTTTTTATCCTTGGAAGTTTACTCAGCTAAGTCAGAAAACAAAATATCTGCACGTCTGACCGACAACATGCTGCTGATATTCAGTGACTGTTCACATTGTGGTTTGTGTGTTGAAGAGATGTTAAGTGCTCGTGTTGGTTAATCTAAATGAGTGGAGAACACTTTAATGACAAAACGTCTGCTATCTGTGTGTGTGGCCAGTTGTGTTTTATATCATCAACATCAGAAGAAGAAATGAATACCTTCTTGATGCCCATTTTCATTGTAGGAAACTTTTACTTTAGTGTAAAACTGAAGGTTTCTGTTTGCAGAGATATTTATGTGCAAGGCTGTGGAAAATTAAACCATAAATCTTTACAAATGGCTATAAAAGAATGATCTGGAATAAGGTTTAGCATAATTGTTTGGGGAATAATGAAGCCTTAATTTTGTTTTCAGCATAGCAAGAGGGGAAAATGTTCATTTTTAGGGAAAGGATTTTCTTTTAGATTAACCGTTCTCTTACAATCCAATTTACAAATTCTGTGAAATTAATACTGTTTATTTTGGCCAGGTGTGGTTTTCTTTCTCTTAACACCACTTAATCTTGACATTATAAGTTTCCACTCCATTCTCAGAAGCTTTAATGTACCAGAACAGAAACCGCCTCAAAATGTTAAGCTGTAGCATCATCATTATTATTATTATTATCATTATTATTGACCAATTAATTGTCAAGTATATGGAAACCAAGAGACTAGCCTGTGTGGTAAATGTTTGTGAATTTTTTGTTTTATTTCTTTTTTCTTTTTTTTTTTTTAAACTGCTTGCTGTATTGTGCGTGTATGCAAGAGTGGCAGAAAGCAGGGGAAATCAGAGTTATACTGTATAATGGTATTGGAATATAGAAAATTTATGCAAAATTTTATGTCACCCTTGTATTAAATATCTATTGTATCAGAGGTCACTATCACATTCTTAGATTTGATCATGTTCGTTATTAAAGATATACTTATATGTTGTTTGTGTTGGTTTTATTGGGTCATTTTAAATTATTTACATATTGTTGCATAGTTGTGTGGAGAAGGCACTTAAAAACGAGCTTTAAAAATAGGAACATGGAATAGAAACATTTATTTTCCCAAAGTGGGGAACCTCAGCTGCAGCACTGAGTTATGTAGGTTTACAATGTATTTTATACATTTTACAACGTATAAAAAATTAAAACAAATGAGCAGTGCCCCCAAAAAATTAACTTTAAATGCGTAAAAGAGTAGAAATACCTGGATCATGAATGTAAACTGATTTCTGCTGGGAGTAGTGATGGATACAGGAAGCAAAGATCTGCAGTAACTCCAAGGAAATGTTTATTTTGTTGTTTGAGTTTATTTCACCAAACTTAACTAGATGTACTAGTTGCTAACCTTTAAAAGAGAAATAAGCTGCTGATCTTATTTCAGAGGGACACGTATCCAAAAATTGTACTCGAGTAATGGTAGCACTACTTCAACATGTACAAGTTTAAAGCAGATGTAAAAAAAATGACTCTGGTAAGAATAACAGTATTTTGTAAAAATTACATAATCACACCAACCAAATTGAAAATAATTCATATAACAATTACAAGAAAAATAATTCAGGCAAAAGAAACATTTTTCAAAATTATTTTTTCAATATAAAACTGTCTGGTGAATTTTTGGTTAAAACCTGTTCGTTCATCATTCAGTAGAAAATCTACACGTTTTCAGTAGAAATACTTCAAGATAAAATTACTCAAGAAAAATTTTTTTTTCTCCAAAAAATTACTCAAATAAATACAGTTGTCTAACTTTGTGTGTACCAATATATAGAAGTGGTCTCCAACCTTTTTATCACCGCGGACCGCTCAAGGCTTGGCAGTTTTACTGCGGCCCGGGTGGGGGGTGAACCGTCAGACAGGCTTCTGCGTGTGTCCGCTAAGGCCTAGTTCACATGGCACAATTTTAAAAAATTTTGCCCCGATTTTCCGTTTTCGACAATCTTAGAACGTTCCGAGTTCTCAGAACGTTGAGTTCTAAGATTGTCGCTTGCGATAATCGTAACCGATCATCCTACGCCTAACATCGGGCACATTCAACACGTTGGATTGTCTTGGGCCTTTTATCGCAACCTGTGGGGTTTTCCCTGTCTGGGAGTGAGAACGCAACCTGTTGACAGTAGCCAATCAGAAAGCGCGGTGACGTAAGCACGGAGAGAATCCCAAACAACTGACGTGGCGCAACCGAATCCAATGACACTGGAGATGATATGTGGAAACATTTCAGTAACAGAAATGATACTGAGAGACGAACTGGGGCGAAACTGGTACCCCAGTTGATAAACCCGGTCACTTTTCAGCTTTCATTAACCTGACATAATATAGTTATAGTTATAGTAGTTCTAATATAATATAGTTATAATTACATAATATACTATAACTAAGGCTATTCATTTAGTCAGGCATGGACGCTGACACTAGCCCATTTAAAATGAGTCCACATACCACTACTGCTTCTACATTGTCATCCAATGTTTGTTGACGAACCTGTTTCCAGGATTTTCTTCTGGAACCGGGATGTTCGTGACTGGAATCGGTTCTTGTGTGGTGTGTTGCTCCTGCCGTGTGGCTGGACACACGAACCAATTGAACCTGTTGTACTTTTATCAGGTCACAGCGGTTTGGAGAATCGGCCGACGATTCTCAAATCGTGCCGTGTGAACCAGACTTAAACTCACAAGCTCTCGACCACTGCCCTTACACTCTCTGACTCTGGTCGCTATGGTAACGTTTACACCATAG